TCCTTTCAAAGTTCTGCTAATGCCCTAGCACCGAATTGCAATTATTTGAATTGTAATAGTAAGATTTGAATTAGAATGGTAAGTGAATAGTTCTTCAAATACATATGTCTATTTATGATGTTTGGCTCTCAGTACAAAGCATATATGCTTATCTATATTAAAAATTAAAATTTTAAAAGCATAATATGCACATCAGGACAGATCTCTGAAAAAAAAACAGGTGTTGGTGAGGAAGTGAACAACTGCAAATGAGCTGCATGAAACTACTGTTCAGGTGTGGGATATGAAGTAAAGACATACAAAATCAGCTATATTCCTATGTTCAGCGTAAGTCACATGCAATGCATTAAGAAACAAGCTTTGGGAGACTCTATGTTTTTCCAATTACTGACAATAATATTTTCTAAACGCATGCCACATTCCTGAGCTGTTTTCTCCACCAACAGCTTTAAGGTTTCCAGTTCCTAAACAAACACGATCTATTAGAAAAGGCTTATGGCCAAACTCCACCAGCCATAAAAGGTGAGATTCATCTGAACAAATAAAGATGTCCACATCTGAAAGAGGCATTCTAGTCCCTCTTGGAGGGAAGAACACATTTCTAGGGTGATTCATCTCTACCTAAAATAGATTCCTACAGTTGGCTAGATGAAATACAACATTTCTAGGGTGATTCATCTCGATCTAAAATAGATTCCTACAGTTGGTTAGATGAAATGCAGTCCAAGAGTGTTCAGTAATTATACAAAGACCAAAGTAACTAGCTCAGACTTGGGTTTCTACTCTGTGGACATCTAAAGATAAATGAGACGAATTCCACTGAACGTGGCTATTAAACCATCATGCAATTCTTAAAATACACCAGCCACAGACAGCACCTGTTTGTGTCACATGTAACCAGTTTAAGCGCAAGACAGTATTTAAAATGATTGCCTTAATTATTCTGTACAACCTCATGACCCACTCACCCTGCTATGAAAGGTTAACTTTTCTGGCTAGTTTACTCCTCATAGGCTTTCCTAAAATGCTACTTTAGACTTTTTAGACTCGTCAAAAGGAAATCATAAAAGATATGCGCTTAAAAAAATCAGCAGAAAAATACAAGCCATGTAAGTATTAATGAATTTAATAAAAAGGCTGTCAGTCAGCCCCATTTAGCCAGTTTATAAAAAGAACATCTAAATCCATCTATCAGGATCTTACAGTAAAGTATACTTGAAATAAAATGTCAATGAATAAGTGCATTTATAAAACTTACGGGTGGCGCTCTTCATAGTCTGTGAAAAATGTACACACCAGACTTGGAGAAAGGTCGCAGCTCTGCAGCTGCTTAAGTTAACAATGTGGTGACACTAGCACAATCTTTCTAAGAATAAGAAGGCACTTTTAATCCAGCTTCCTATTTTGAAACACTTTCTGGCAGAAGGGAGGTAGAAGAAAGAAGCTGCTTTGAATTGAAATTTTTAAGACCACAGATGCCATGGACTATTACACGTGCATTTTCTAAATGTACATTCCTGGCAGACACAAAAAACTTTACTTACAAATTCAAGCTTTGAGAAGTTTAAAGAAGTCAAAACTATGTTAGAAGTGACTGTAGTTAAAGCAGCACATAACGGTTCTTTAGTGTCACCAGGTGAGTTACTAAAACTGCAATCTACTCACACAAGCTCATCGGCTACGTCTACAGTAGTAAATACAATACCATAACAGCAACAGGTCAGTAGAGAGAAGCAGCTGGTTCACAAGCCCCTGTTTCTAATTTGTAAGTAGTTCAGGGAGCTTACACTAAATCACATTTAGTCTGGTTCACTGGGCCAAAAATCCTTACAATGCATGTATTTGAAAGCTGTCTGAGAACAAACCACTGGTTCAGTCCCTTATGTTTGGAGTTGGAGTATGTTTGGTATGTGCCTGGAGTGGCCCTAACCTTGCTACAAAAAGATTCTAGTTTAGTTTCTTCTGAAAGGAATCCAGTTCATTTATACCAAAATTGCTGTTCAAACCAAACCCATGAGCAGGAAGTGGGGAGGATGGGATTCAGTTCAAACCAGTGCTATTGCTCTGAACCAAAATGCAGATGTGCACACAGACTCTGAGTACTTGCGTGATTTCAGCGTCTCAGTCTAAAATCCTTGGGAGCACACAGTCATACAAAGAAGCAGATATATATGTATATGCACTCAAATCTAGGCAAAGAAGCAACCTACATTTTCTAAACTAAGGTACTACTCGAGATGCCAAGTTGGATTCTTACGTTTTGTCAAATTGACATGTGGGTTTTTTTAAGGCATAAGATGTCTCTGATTACCTAAGCAATTACAGAGTTATCTATCTATACATGCAGCACAGAGGGTAGCTAGTGAGTCAAATAGTTTCAAATAATTGTATGTAATGTAAAATAAATTGCTTTATCTTAATATGGAGAGTTTGGGCTTTTTTCTAAAATTATTTTAATGAATTCTTACTGCAGATTTTCATCAGAGAATGGGAAAACTATACTTATATGCTACATACATACAGGACCGTATGAGGAAGGAAGTTACAGGTGCTGTGATATGCATCTGTTTACAGGTCCTGCAGATCTGAGCACCTATAAAACAAAGAACCATATTTTCTAAACAGGGATGAGAGTTGTGTTAAACAGATTGATTGATTTTAGAGCTTTAAAATAGGCCACGAAAAGCATCTTCAGACTAGTTATAGCAAGTGGCATTCATGTCATAGCCCACAGTATCTCTTACTGAAAGTACGGGCAACAATTTTCATTGGAGTTCTGAAAACAGTAGGAATGTACCACCTAAAACATTTGGGGTTCCCCCCACCCCCATTTTATAAGCATGCGTAATGCAGGAGCAAGATACGGAAATTTCAATAATGAAACCATCTTATCATTCTATACAGAGAATAAACTCTTACAGGTTAATTTAAGAACATTGGATTTGTTTTTAATATCACAAAATGACGAAAGGAAAAATTACAATATCCTGAATTATAGACATTTATATCAAACATTAACATGGGCAACTTTCCACATCTATTTTTACCACTCAGAAGAGTAGTCAAGAATCACAAGCAATTAAACACCTACCAGTTAAACAACACATTTACTTAATAGATTTCAAACACCAAGTATTTGGCCAAACCTATTAGCGTATTAAAAAGAAGACTGTAACCAGCTAATGAAAAGGTACTACACAAGCCCTTGAAAGACTACCCTGCTTTCCCAGTCACTTTCAGGCTCAAACCAGGTCACTGACAGAAATCAAGAGTCTCATATATCCTAGCTCATTACTGTAAAAAAAACCAACCACCCCACCTCTCTCTAATCAAACACAGACAAAGGAATGGAGGGTAGCTGTTTTCTTATAACTTTTTGATTCATATTATTGCAAAATTCTGATTCTCATCAAGTCAGCTGCAGAATTTCCATGGGTTTAGCTGGCTCTGGAGTTCAGAACAACAATCCACTTCCCACAGTCACCCACCAGCTTATTTCTTCTTAAAATGAATTTGATTCTTTGTTGATGTGAACTGTCCAGTTTACAGTTTGCTTTATATAATGTGCAAGTATACCAACAATAATGTGTACACTCAAGTGAAAAAACCCTGTTTAAGCAGCTAACCCTAGTGTGCACCTATTCCACAAAAATTAAGATACTTTTATCTTAAAACAAAACCAGAAAAAAAAACAAAACAGACCCGTCTCTTCAAAATCCGTTAGAACAGGTATAAGCATGGGTAACAAAAGAAACAAGGGAGGAGGGCTTCTTTCACAATCAAACATGAAAGCCTATGGTTTGTTGCTTTCCCAAACAAATTTGTAAATAGAAATGTCTGCATATTTGGAATTTTCCTTATTTTGATTATTTCCTTTCCCCACAATATGTGCATGATATAGAAACGATAAAGCCTTATTCTAAGCACAATTTAACAGATTGCCAAAACTCTATCAAAACCCCCACTTTGTTTTCAAACATTAAATTACTTGCTACAAAATCCTACCAGTTATTTACACAATCAAGCAGCAGAGGCAGAATAATGCCAATCATTCTAAACAACCAGGATACTCATATACATTAAAACACATATAACCCAACGGACGTTTAGGAAACAACTATTAAAAACCTGTAAGAACTCGTGCTAATGAACAGAACTGCAGTGATGACTTGGGAGAGGTTTGCTCACTTGTTTCTCAAAACCCCCTGCAAAAAACCACTTATTTCACCTCGGGAAAGCAACATACTCGTTTCAAAGCAGGAGGAGCACGAACAGCTGTCGATGGTTTACAACTAGCCTTGCTTTAGTAGCAGAAAGTTATGATTAAGAACAAGGAAGAAACATCAAACCCTGGTCACCATACAAGCGTGGGCATGCACACACACACACAGAGTCAAAATCATGGTACATAAATTACTACATTATGTTACCTAGCATATTAGGAACACATAAACCAGGCAAATACATATCAGAAACAACAAACTACACACTAAGTTACAAAAGCCATGACATTTTTAGTCCACGCCACACAGTGCGGTGACACATCTGTAACAAACAGAAGCACAGAGTGAACATTATACTCGGGAATTCTCTGTGAGTGCACAACATAACGCCTGGTAACACCCACCCTTGGTACGTTTACTGAACTTCACCAGGAGAAAGGAGTTTGCAGCGTTCAGGTTACAGTTTGAGCCAGCCGGCGCGCAGGCAACAGCGTGAATTCAAACAAAACCCACCACAAACCCTCACCACCACAGAGCGATACTGGGAACCTGACTAGACCGACGTGCCCCCACAGCAGAGCTCTATCTCCCTGCCCTGCACCTCGGGCACCCACAGCCACGGAGGGCTCGCTTGTGCCATATCACGAAGGCAGAGACGGGCAGGCACACCCCACCCCACCGCATACCGTACGCGCCCACGGCCGCCCCACACACAGCGAAACAGCCACTACAGCGGGGCAGAGGCCACCCAGCGACCGCCGCCACCCCCCACCCCACCTTCAGGGCCCCGCCGCTCCTCCTCGGCCCCCTCGGCGCTTCCCGCTCCTGCCTCGGCCATGGCGGGCGGCCCGTGCCACCGCTCCACAGCGCCCCCGGCCCCGGTGGCATGCAGGAGGTGAGCTGAGGTGAGCGTGAGCAGCAGCAGCCGCCGGTCCCGCCGGCCCGGGGGAGGGCTCAGCGGCGCCCCATCGGCCTCCCCCCGCCTTGGCGCCGCCTCAGCAGCGCCGCCATCTTCTCGCGACATTTGGTGCCTTCCCGCGGAGCTGGGCGGTGTTCTCCCGTTCCTTGAGCAGCAGGGATGGGGGAGACGTGGGGTGAGGGCTGAGGTCCGCGGGAGGGGGTTGTGGCAGTTGGAGAGACCACAGCACACCGCAGCACACCACACCGGCCGTGTTGAATGTATGGTGGAGGTGGCCCCGCTCCCTCCTGGTATGTTGCAGAGCCAGGGTAGGAGTGGGCCACTTTGGCCTTTGCTGTCTGGGGAAAAACCTCACAGCAGCCTTCCAGTACATGGGGAGGGACTTATAAAAGCAAATAGTGGTAGAACAAGGAGGAATGGCTTTAAACTAAAAGACACTGGATTTAGACTAGGTTTGAGGAAGAAGCTCTGCACGATGAGGGTGGTGAGGCACTGGCACAGGTTGCCCAGAGAAGCCGTGGCTTGCCTCATCCCTGGCAGTGTTCAAGGCCAGGTTGGATGAGGCTTTGAGCAACCTGCTCTAGTGGAAGGTGTGCCTGCCCATGACAGGGGGGTTGGAACTGGATAAGCTTTAAGGTCCCTTCCAACCCAAACCACTCTGTGATTCCATGAAAATACCAAAATTGCTTTGTACCTGTGAACCTGATAGTTTTCAGGGTACTGTATGGAGGACGCCTTGTCTGAGGAAGAACTGTGATCATGGAATAATTTTAATTATGAAAGGCCTCTGTGGGTCGCCTGGTTCCGTGTGTGGTCAGAGCAGGACAGAGAACAGTCACACCTACCAGTCAAAAAAACACAAAAATAGGGTTAACTTCTAGTAGTATATTAAATTGTGTTAGTAGACTTGGATTAACACTAGATGCACAGGCTGTAGCTATATTTTTTGCTAATGCCAGGAGTGCACTTTTGAAGTGAATCTGCCCATCACCCTCACTGCACTTGGGTTCACATCTTGGAAGAGTCTTGGTGTGTGCGAAGTGTATCGTTTTGAGCAAAGACCTGAAGAAGCACTTTCAAGAACATAACATGCTCCAGCTCTGAACGGACATTGACTCCAGCAGACTCCCTTAGAGCTAGTCTCAAATGAAACCTCTGTAACAGGATGTGGGCATCAGGACCTCAGCAATACCTGTTCCATTTGACAGAACCTCTCTTACTGTCCTGCCCTGCTTGTTAATGTTTAATACACACTGTGCTTGCTCAGTTCCAGTCGTAGGTGTAGTAGAACAGGCTTTCACCTGGACCCACACATCCCTGCCCGCGCCATCTTCATAGGTGCACGTGTGCCCGCTTCTAGCTGGTGAACTCAGGTATGAGTGATTTTTACATGTACAGTGCAGCTGGTATCACTTACCAGTAAGCCTGGATCTAATTATTGGCAATGTGTGTAAAGGAAGCTACTTCTGCAGGTGTACTGTTTAGTGGGCTTTCAGAGCATCTGTTGTTAGTAGTCCTTTGGAAATGACAAAGGTAGCTGTAAGTATTTTAACATTCTTTAATATCTAAGGTGTTAAAATTTACATGAGCTGCTGACACATGCAGCCCTGAACTCCATTTGTGCCATCTTTTATACTCTGTGAAGCTCCCAACACAGTTTACGCTTGACATGGAATCACCCTGTGTATGTGGAAGTGGGCAGCTCAACATCTAGCCCATCATTATGTCCAAGGATTACACATGGCATGTGGAAGTGCCAAATGGGTAAGCAGCTCTAATAGAATATGCTTGCCTGGGCAGGGAATTGTGGGTTCCAGCTGGGGATGTTGCTGAACAAATGTACTGTGACAGTCTCAATGCCCATTTTTTTCGTAAGGTGCTTTGCAAGGTGCCCTTGCAAACTCAGCTTTTCATCTCAGAATTTTAGCTTCTATGCGATCACACAGTTACTATTGCAGTGATACATATATTCCACTAGGCTGGCTTCAGCGGGCCTTACAGAATTTGTATTGGACAATAGCAATTACAAACCACTTCTGCCTTAAGTGAAATAAAAAGCAGTAGGATTAGCTAAAAAACAGGAGCTAGGGTTGCTGTCTTTGAGAAAATCATTATAATTAATGCACATTTGTTTTATTCATGTACTACAACTGATACTGGAAAATATTTCTAACACTTTGTTCCTAGGGGTCTTAAATGTCATATTTGGCCCTGGCAAAATACTCTTTTTGCCCCAGTTTTAAAGCTAGGAGTTCCCTCCTCCAGCTTTGCATCACCACTGGACGCCCAAACGTGAGGGAGATTTCAGAAGAGTGAGTCAGTTGTATCGACTAAAACATGTTTGAGAGACTCAGTAACCACAGAACATTGAAGATGGCCATTGTTGCAAAGCTCAGTGAGATAAAGAGTTAAATAGTTTCAGAAAACTGCTTGAACAAACTTAATAGCTTAACAGCTATTAAATACAAAAGCCCTCCATATGAGGACATTCAATGAGGACATTTAAAATGCCTCTTCTTTTTCTTTTTAAGTGACTTACTAGAAACAGAGCTAATGTACCTTATCCATATTTTATTGATTTTTTTTTAGTGCAGCAATAGAAGTACTTGTAATTCAATGCAGAAATTTTTGGCACTTTATGATATGTCTAGGTCAGAAAATCAGAGCAATCTCTTAGCAGTATTTCTGCCTGTCATGTTGCTTCTGTGCATTTCTCTTGATCTCATGGTCAGTGTCACACCTTGGCACTTAGGGAGTTCTTGTAAACATAATGTGCTCCAAATCATTAACAGAGATTCTAGACATCATTTACTATACTTGTTTCTTATTCAAAGGTGATGACTGGTCTCTATGGAACATCTCATACATCTCGTATATGACAGTAATTGGTCTTTATAACACATAGTTAGCCTTGAGTCTTGGCAGAGTAGGATCCCAGTTTATATAAGGCACTGATTTTGAACAGGCCACACTTGATATTTTTGCCCCATTTTTAGGTGAGCGCTTTCTCTTGAGGAGCCTTTACCTATAAAATACAGAACAGAATGCTTTATGTAAGCCTCTTTTTTCCAAACAACTTATACAACAACTTGCTAAAGGGGTGAAAATAACAATCAAATCTCAGAACAATTAAATAATAGCCTGAGACTAAGCAGTTAAAGAAAGGTCTCTGTATTATTACTCCTTTTTCTTTTCAGTAAATGATTAATGACATCCAAAGCATAGCATGTCTTAGCTGTTACGCAGGACATGAGGAGCGTGCAGTCAGCATTTCCCTGAGATACCATCTTGAAGAGGATGCAGATTGCTTTGTGTATTTGCTAGGGCCAGGCTAGCTGCACGCATGCCACACTTAAGAGACTTATTTCGTAAGCTGAAAGTGACTGGACAAAAGCAATCTCCTCCTTTGAGGGAGCACTGGGAGTCTGTGTAATTAGAGTGACCTGTATTGCTTCACTTTGAAAACATACTTGGGTGACTGCTTAGGGTGAGCTAACCAACTTTTTTCTGTTGAAACTTTGTAGCAGTAAACCAAAGTTACTCAGCATACCTGTAAATAAAACCACAGATTTTTCACAGACTTCTCTTCCAGAACACAAGTGTTTGTGGTTTCCCCCCAATCATGGTATTACATGGCTCAAAGTAATGTAAAGAACAATCCCTGTGTCTTGAAATCAAGTGTGTTTTTATACAGGACACCTGAACCAGATAGCTAGTTAGAAGAATGAATACAATAACACACATGCACACACCATGATCAATTTACTTTGAGATTTCCTAACCAAGTTAAAGTAAGTCAAAAAGATTAGCATTTTCCAAAGTGCCTACTTTATTTTGGAGTCCTGGCTGGTGAGGTTTGTCCCCACAAAGTAATTCACTTGCTTGTAAATTTCTTGCCTAAAAGTCTCTCAATTTGATGGTGCCACTTTTGACTTAAAACCAAAATAGTACTCAGTTTTTAAATAGCCTTTTCATTCCTGGCCGAAACTGGTATTTTCTGAATGTATGACAAGAGCCTAACATCTGATGTGTCTGAAAAACAGTATTGCTGTGACAGAGCTCTACACAAGGATAAATAAAGCTGCTTAAGGCAACTGTTGAAATGAAAAGCAATGGAATTGTGCCCATAGTGTACAACTGGCCACCTCTAAGCTGAGTCCTACCTCTCTAGGCTCAGCAAGATCCCACCCAGTGCCTTTTCTGCTGTGACTAAAGGAGAACAAAACCAGCTGTGAGGGCAGGGCATCTCCAAGGACAAAACATCTTCTCTTGGGTTTGCATGCAACTAATCTGTGAACCTCCAAGCTGTAGTTGTCTCACCCACCTTGCCTGCAAAGGTCCTGACAGTGCCTTACATGACAAAGCTTTCTCCTTGGTTAAAGCAGACTTGTCAGATTTTCAAGTGTTGATAGCCTTGCATTAAATAGCTGGTATAGGAGCAATGTGAAGATACAGACATGTAAACCACGTGTAGTCAGTCTGTGCCACTGAGTTGAGGCAGACTTAACTGGAGAGGTAAACCCAACAACTGTGGCACAGAGTAGGCCCATAAGTATGTCTAATGTCACTCAGCAGAACTGTGCTCATTGAATGCATCGCATTCATAGTTCACTACCTGAGTATTTCATAAATCAAGAAGTCACGCTGATCCCTCTGCTTCCTAGAATGTGCAAAATCCATACCGGGGCCCAGTTATGTACTATGCTCTTTCAGAAAAAGGCATTAAAATAAATTACACACTTTGCAAAGTTTCCTTGAGGCATTAGTTTCATTTTGTTTATTAAAAAAATAGGTAATATTTTCTTCTTTAATAGCAGAGGTGCCACACAAGTTTGTCTCCATTGTAATGTGAAGCTGCAAGGCATCCTCTTCACGTACTGCCTTTCAACTGACTGAATTGCGTAGGCAGTAGAATCTCCTTGTCTTATTTGTAAAGGATACAGAAGCAGCATCAGCAAACAGCTTGCTTTTGAGACCATCCTTGTTCACTGGTTTCTTTGGACCTTAGATAGGGATCTTCGGCTGACATTAGTGGGAGCTGGACAAGACCTTGCAGGCAGCCTGCTGGATTAAAAATCTTGAGATGCATGTCTGGTTTAACAGTGATTTGCACTGTCATGATCAAAAAGTCACTCAAGTTCTTATCTGACTCTTCATTATTATTAAATAGATACATTGAAGTCAGAAGCAGACTTTGTAGAGAAATAAAGTGTCCAAGAGCAGGACAGCTGTTGCAGTTTTTGAAGAAGTCCTGATGCTAGAGAGACATATCTTCACATCAGTGTTCCCATTTCAAGTCTCAAAGTTTTGTGGATAGCCCCATGTGCACAGGCATGGGGACGGGGATTGTCTTGGCACCTGCTTCCTGTTGGAGCTCCATTACCTTCATATTGGTTTTAGATTAGACATTAGGAAGATTTAGGTAGATTTAGATTAGGTTTTAGGAGGAAGTTCTTCCCTTTGAGGTTGGTGAGGCGCTGGCCCAGGGTGCCTAGAGAAGCTGTGGCTGCCCCAGCCCTGGCAATGTTCAAGGCCAGGTTGGATGGAGCTTGGAGCAACCTGTTCTAGTGGAAGGTGTCCTTGCCCATGGCAGGGGGGTTGGAACTAGATGAGCTTTAAGGTCCCTTCCAACCCAAAACCTTCTGTGATTCTACGATTCCAGCATGAACATCCACACCGACAGGCAGATTCTGAACACGTCCCTGGAAGGAAACAAGGTGTTACATAGGCTTGGTGCATATGTAACACTTGCTATCTGTACCTGCCATCTCTGATTCAAAACGTGGAGCAGGGATTGTGGTTATGCTTTTACACAACAGCTTCAAGGTCACAGCACGTACTCAGCTGATGAGCTGCCCTCTTAACATCATCTAGTTTTGTGGCTAGGAAATGTAAGAGTCAAGTTCAAAGATTTTATCTTTGGAGCATGGAGGATGGGCAGAGACCCCTGGGGGGAAGGAACTGCTACCAACTGAAGGTGGACTGCATGGGGACAGCACGTATAGGGAGCATGTATTCCTAGAGGAGAGAGAAGCAGCAGCAGATGGTGACTCACTAGAAATGGATTAAAGCAGCTGCTACAGAAACAAGATGTGGCATCAAGGGTCAGTTCAAATCAGAAACAGACTGCTTCTAGCAGAGCCTGACTTGATTGGGAAATGAGAAACCTGGGTTAATTTCCCTGCTCAGCATGAGGAGGTTCAAGCCTACACGTCCCATTTCCCCAGAGAACAGTAACCTCCATGCTATCATGTAACCTGGAGAAAGGAGGTGGTGGGAGGAGTAGGAGGCAGTGAGATAAACTCTGCAAGTATGAAGATTCATTTCCCCTCACAGTGACTGTAGAAGTGCTCCTGTGTGAAGAAGTGTACAAATCCCACTGCCATCACTATTGACAGAGAAGAAATTCAGTGTATTATATATATACACACATTAACTTGCCCTTCAACTATCCTAACAGCTCATGTACCTGGTTTCTTTCAGGTAGCAGCTTCTTTGAGGCAGAGTGGTGTTCTGTGAGGCAGAGCCTGAACCCAGCTTGGCTGACCCACTACAGTCCACTGGTACCCACATTTAAAACCTGCTTTCATCTTTGAAATTCAGCTATGGAATAGGAATTACAACCTCTGTAATACTTAAAATTTTCATGCTTGATAAAAAAAAATTACCTTAAAGGTTAAGACCTTCCTGAACTGCAGAGATAAACGTGTCGGACTGGCACTGGAAACCACTATTGTCATCACTCCCAACAGCAAGAAAGACTGTTTTGAATACTTCTCCCTTCTCTTTCCATAAGAAGAGCCTCAGGAAAGATATTTTCTTGTCTAGAGCACAACTGTTTTGCTTATATGCAAGATACATTTTGTAAAAGAATGAAGAAATTAAATATAGTAGGTTTTATACAGCATGTTTTATAAACACTATGTAGTATTTAAAAGTGGTTGATTTAAAAACAAGAAACATTTCTGCACATGATGAATGCATAGCCTTTATATTTGCCATTAAAGTGCTGTATTTTTGAGGAATACTAAATTTGGTAATGCAAGGAGATAAAGAACTAAGCCTGCTTATCCTTACGATACATAGCTCTGAGATATGATGTGGTTACTGAAAAAAATGTGTAATCCCGTCGAATAAAATTTGATACAATTTTAACAGGATTTTACATGTACTGAGAGCAGCAATTCTCAAGTGGAAGGGCCTCCAGAAAGAAAGGCCAGTCACCAGCTGTGAGTTCCACTTTCCTTTCAGCTGCTCAACTCTAATATTTTTACATGACTATTTCACACCTGTGTCTGCGGCTGCTGCTCTAAACTCAGCAAGAAAGAGGGAACAATAGGACAAAATTATTTCTACAGTGAATCAGGCCTCCAACTGCCCACAGAGGCCTTTATTCTATAAATCATGGCCTACAGGGAAGAAGGTCTCTTGTGAAAAGCAATAACCATTGTAGAAGTAACTTCACATGACTGCACTCGGTACAAGATGAGCAATTTCCGTGATCTCTACTTTCTGATTGAGAGAGTAGCGCCACTGGGGTTTTCACTATCCATGGAATTCAGGATGAGATACACAAAACAGCCCCTCAATACCTGAGATGTTGCCCGTTCTGGAAAATAAGCATTTGAAGTACATGGTGTGAAAGAATAAAACCAGCAACTTTACAAAAAGAATGCTACTTTTATTTTCAAATGCTGTAAAAAGCCTCATATAAATTTTTATAATGCTTCTATGTAACTTTCCCAACCACAACTAATGAAACAGTCTAGGAAAAATATAGCAGTTGCCATTTCGACTCCAAGAATGAGCTGCTGAAAGATATCAACATTAAAAGGACAAGGTACAGTATGTTACAATGCTTGTAATTGCTCATATTATTGAAAAAGTGAGAGCACTTCCTAAGCATTAGAGTATAACCGGGCTAAACTGCAGTATTCCCTACTTGCTGCTGCACAGAAAGAAAATCACCTCTTTAGAAGGAGCCGATGCAACACCCTGTGTACTGCTTCTGCCCATTTTTCTTAGTGTGGAGAGCTTTCAGCAAGCCCCTTTGCACTTAGGTGAATTCACCCATGTCAGATGCTATTATTCCATACTGTATCCAACGGCTCAGGTGTTTGAACAATTGACCTATAAAAATAACACATAACTCTCCAGCAAGGCAAATTCAACAGTGCAAATGCGGTATCAACAATATTTGATTTCTGAATGCTGGCAATTTTTTTAACTCCTTTTGCACATGAAACAACCTCTGCTGATGTCCTGGAGCTAAGGCCACTCACTCATGCTGATAGGAGTGCAAAAGCTCAGCTGCGTTTCCCAATCCAAGCTTCCTCCCCAGTTTCAGGGTATTCAGATCCAGGATTTGGATTCAGGCTCACCCCTTCCATCAATGCACTCAAGTTTTCTCTGCTGGTATGGGTTAACTTCCCAGCAAACCTCTGATTACAATTTGCATACACAATTCCACATTTTTAACAGAAGTTAACAAAACATACTTCCAGAAAATAATTTTTCACATGGTTGCAATCATCAAGCCATTTCAGGATCTTTGGTACTCCAAGAATAAGAAAAATAAATGGCACAGTGACAAACATCACCAAAGGAAAACACACAACCATCCAAAGGAATAAGACATAAAATAAACAACAGATATGTTGCACTTCCGTGTTTTGAAGCCAGTGTAGATTAACCTTCTGTTCTTTTTAGTCCATACAGTGTCACAGTTTCAACTTTAAAAAAAACAAACTATCCTAAAAGCAGCAGTTAATATTCTGTTTAACTTGACTTACTGATTAAAATAATGCTGTGCTTAAAAAATCCCAAAACAACCAAAAAACAAACTACCACAATGCAGTTGATGCTAAATAGGCTGCAGGCTGTTTCCCTATGGATATAATTCCTATGTGAGCACTGATATGATTAATCATCCTCAACTTTAAATGAGTATTATCTTTAGTGTTACAAATATGAGGGTTGAGCTGTTTTCCCAGGTTTGTAAACCAGTGAGTATGTACAGACGTTGTTGTTTAATAGCTTTAAATTGTGTATTTATCTCCCCTCCCCTGAACCTTGCAGGATAAAGAAAAAAAATCACCAGTATTTACTCAGCATTTGCAGTTTCCATGAAACTTATCTTGTCTCAGGACATTCAAGCAAAGACTTCTGTTTATATTATGCAAATAGGGTTACTCTGGTCTTTTGAAACGTGTTGTTCGCAGGAATTCCACTTCTGGTGCACACAGTGCCCTATGAATGACATAGGAAATTAAAACTAGGAAAAATTCTATTTTGAATAGCAGTGTCCTTTGCGGCTAAGTTTGCATTGCAGGTATTTTTTGCTCAGGCTCCTCTGTCTTATAGAATGGACTGAAGGCCTTAAAAAAGGGATTTCTTTTCCTGAGAAGCCTCAGAAGCTGCTAGGGCACAGGCAGAATGAAGCCTTAAAGTGTAAAGATGGACTGAAGTGAGTGACCACCTTTGGCCAGTCTTTGGATGGATACAGGCTGAGCTTCACTACACTGAGAAGGCTAAGAACAACACTGGGGAATTGCTGAGGGACCTTGTCACAACCGTATAAGGTCTGGGAAAAACAATGTGGAGATCAATGAACTGTTCCCAGGTAGTGATGAGCATTTAGGCAAAAGCATAAACTGTATAAATTGGATGGTCCTTGAGGCACTGGCTACTCCTCTTTGATGGCCTTAAGACTACAATTTTTTTGCAGAAATGCAGTATAAATAGCATATTAGATGCTTGAAGGGAAACAAAATAATGGAGGAAAGACATCACTGAAGGCCTTGAATCTGGTAGCTGTTGGATCAGGGAAGACCACGTGCACGTGAATGTGCCACATAAATCTGGTTGGCAAGTGTCGGGTTTTTTTTATGCAGAAGATGAACACTGCAGTGTTTTTAAAGCATACAAATAACTCAGAACAGCTGCACCATGGTGCCTAACAGCAATAAATATTTCTGTAATGGCTTTATAAATAGTCCCTTCCATTTTGCTGCAAAAGCCAGTCTAATGGAGCCTTCCCTACTCTATGCAAAAACATCCTGTGCTTCACTCCAATGGGTGCTGCAGAGGTTTTAGAGTGTCTGTCATTTCCGTTCAGAGGAAGACAGCGACAGTGACTCTGCTTGTTTAATTACTAGGGAATTGTTGGTTGCTGCAAATCTCTTTTAACCAGAAAGTGACATCAAAAATCTCTGCTGTATTGTGATAGATCACAAAGTATTGCAGATAATATTCTAGTACAGGCAGAGATTAACAGGTAAATTTGCCAACAACCAGTTAATTGTGAACTGTTGAGGTGTGCAATTCAATCCTCAACCACTGCTGGGCTGAGAAACAAAACCATACACTGCATATGGAGGGATTTCTGCTTCAGTTTCCTTGACCTAGGAGGAGACCTGTCTCTGCTGCAAATCAGTCATCCGCAGACTGGGGAGAAAAGCAGTTGGATGTTCTGCCTAATTCAGTCATGGATGTTTGCAGTCCTTGGAAACTGGACAGCCGACTCATTGATCCTTTGTAATCCCATGGTCCATGTTAGATGGAGATCCTAGAAGACAATGGAGCCCACAGGAGAGTCTGACACAGGGTATTCTAGAAAGACAAGGCTAAAGCAGGATCCCTTCTGCCTGGAACTTCTCAGGGTGATGAAAAAGGAAAAGCAACAATTTGATCACTCTTATAGAATACATTTTGCACTGACAGAAGAGGCTATTTGAATTACAAGCAGCAAAAAGATGATCTGCTTTACAGCAGAGGCAGGAATGTGGTCCTGGAAACTGCCATCTCTTCAGAACTTGGAATCAGATCTCCCTTCTGTGAAAAATCTTTATGATTTTTACTCAGATTCCTTTTTTCTTCTGAAGTTGCCAAAAGGCATCATCATCTTAAACAGTAATACCCATCAACTATCATTTAAAGCTAAAGTACCACTGAACAGATCACAGGGACAGTCTCACCACCACAGACAGTGGGAAAAGGAAGGAAGAGAAGAAGGAATGATCAGATGATAAAGCCCTCCAGTGCACAAAAGCAAAGGCAGGCAGGGTACAAATAGGCCCACAGGACATTGCTATTTAAAATAACTCAATGTTGCCACACTCATGGGGTATCTGCAGACCACAACTGGAACACCCTGGAGCAACTGTTCAGAGAATTTTGCAAATGTGGACAATGGGTTTTTATACTGCATATCTAAAACCCAGGTAAGCAGTATAGTAACAATGCTGCATAAAAGGATATGTTTTACTCCTGGCTGGATTAGATGGTTTACAGTACAAAAGCCACAGTACAGAGAGGCATAATTAACCGTTATACACACATAGGCAGGGCAGTTAAAGGGATGTATGTTCCTTTTATTCCAGTACCTTTGTATAATAAAGTTAACAAAAATATTCAAATATTAAAAAAAAAAAAAAGAAAAAAAAGAAGGAAAAAAAACCAAACCAGCCAGTTGGCACTGCCAACTAATTCCTGTAGTAGTCTCAGAAATCCTAATCCTGTAGAATTTCCTTGTGAAATTGATGCGCACCAGAGTCAATGTATTGATAACTAATGCCAAGCGGGTCTGGTGATGCAGCTACCTGAGGTTTGTGTTTTTGTATCTTTTGTGGGGTTGTGTTTTGTTTCACAACTTCCCCGCTTTCATGTACGAAGGGATTGAGCCACGCTGCGTGAGCCCTTCAAACCTCTTGTAGGTATAATTGAGGAAAACCCAGTCTTTGGATTTGTAGTCAGGTTCCGTTGTGTTTGGCACTAGAATTCAGAAACACAAGTAAAAACAAAACAATTAAAAGCCAACACTACTTCTGAGAGGACTTTTCACAGAGCACTGATATAAACTGCCTTGAGCTCTTATTCCCCTAGTAAGCAGAAGAAATCCTGTTTCTGATCAAGTCAGTTTGCCTTTTTCAGTATGTCTACACACCCTCACAGGCTCATGGGAGCTTGTTAGCAGACCTTGACAAAAAACTCTTAACACAGCCAACAGGATACACGATTACAGTAAACACATTTAGGATGCTCCATGCACAGCAAACACACGTATACATATTGTG